TTCGGCCGACCCGCTGGATGATGGCCCTTTTGAGATCGTCAAAGACCAGGAGGTTCCGCACGGGCAGTTGCTGAGCAGTCACCTGTGCTTCCCCCGATAATAGGGGTATCAGGCGCACAGGCCATTGCTCTTGTGGCCACCCACCGGCTTCCGCTGTTTTCTCGAACAGATCCAGGAAGGCTTCGGGGTCATCCTGAGCCCCCATCTTGTTCAGCGGCAGGTGGGGAGCCGGGGTCTGCTGCGTGGCAGCTTCTGCCCGAAGCTCCCGGTCCATCCAGCTCCGGAACCTCTCCCGCCTGGTTGATGACCTGGAAGCGTCGCTCCTGATCAGTCCTCATGACCAGTAATGCCTGATGTTGCTCTTGATGGAGGACCGCGAGGGATGAAATGACATCCACAAATGGCGTACTTGTCGGAGTTTGCATGACAGCGGCAGCTCTCCTGCTTCCTACCCGGGTTTCGGCACCAGTGTAAGGTCAATGACTTGAGAAGGAAGAGGACGGGGTCGGCTTGACTGCTGCTGGGGTTTTTATTCAGCTTCAAACAAAGTAAACAGAACGTCGCGCTACCAGCGCTCAATATAGCACAATTGCACATGCACAATCATAATCACAGGGCTCTCCAGAGCAGGCACAATCTCTCCCCAGTCAGCAGTCGGTCTCTCTCTCCCTCACAGCTCATTCCCGGGCCTCTTTATGCGGTCTCTCCACGCCAATTACTGGAACCAGACACAGGTGTTCGTCATTTGCATTCGACCCACTTACTCACCGCTCGTCTCCCAACTCTCTCTCCCGCTGCAGACCTCGCTGAACCACGCCCCCCCTCCCATTCCTGGAGAGGAAGTCGGCCACAGCCATCTGTACACCCGGTCTGTGGACCACCTGGAACTTAAAAGGCTGTAACGCTAGATACCAACGAGTGATCCGCGCGTTGGTATCCTTCATGCGGTGGAGCCACTGCAGAGGGGCGTGGTCCGAACAGAGAGTGAATTCCCGTCCCAAGAGATAATATCGGAGGGTGAGGACAGCCCACCTGATGGCCAAACACTCCTTCTCTATGGTGCTGTACTTAGTCTCTCTCTTCGAGAGCTTGCGACTAATGTACAGCACCGGCCGCTCCTCTCCCTCTATCTCCTGGGACAGGACTGCACCCAGCCCTCTGTCCGATGCGTCAGTCTGCAACAAGAAGGGGAGAGAAAAGTCAGGAGAATGTAAGAGCGGCCCGCCACACAAAGCAGCCTTTACTTGGGTAAAAGCCTGCTGACACAGCTCTGTCCACTGGACCGGATCTGGTGCTTCCTTTTTAGTGAGATCAGTCAGAGGGCTGGTGAGGTCCGAATAATTAGGCACAAACCTTCTATAATATCCCGCCAGCCCTAGGAACAGTCTCACCTACTTTTTGGTCTTAGGTCTCGGGCAAGTTGCAACCGCTGCAGTCTTATTAATTTGGGGACGCACCTGCCCGTGACCCAAGTGGAAGCCCAGATACCTGACCTCCACACGCCCAACCGCACACTT